CTACACTCCAAACATGAATCACAACTCCAAACATGCAAGTCAAATCAAAATTTCGAGTTCATGCATAAATCTCAATATCAATCATTCAAACTATGAAATCCGTAAAAACAAAAGCATGAAAACTCAAAATCTTACCACACCCAAGCTTGATTAACCCTCAATTGCTCCAAATCGCAAAACCCCTAATTTTGGAAAACTTAGGGTTTCCAAAATTTCTTCAAAATTGGCTACATTTGGTGCAAGGGAAGGTTGTTTGAGTGTTTATGGGAGTGATCGAGTGGAGTGGTGCAAGAAAATTGACTGGAAAAGGTCAGAATTTAAAGATGGAAAATTTTTCTCTCTTGGAGGCAAAAGGGAGTTCTTGTGAAAAATGGGAGAGAAAGGCGAGTATATATTGAAAATGTATTTTGCTGTGGCAAAGAGGAAATTTCACAGCAGCTAAATTCTGGAAATTCTTCCTTTTTGTGTCAAATCAACTCAATGTCACAACGAAAATCTGGAAATTTTGTGCATAAGGATCACAGTGTGTACTCTACCACGGCGAAAATTCTTCCTTGTCGTGGCAAGGTCTAAAAAATTGTCTTTTCATGACAAATTTCAATCTTTAACCTAAAACACAGAAAGAAACACAAAATTTAATCACTTCCTACGTCAAATAATGCATAAACAATGTGTGAAACAACTAAAATCACACAATGTAACACCTACTGAAAACTAGTACAATGCATGCAATTAACAATGGAAAATTGGGCCCAAAACGTTTCTTTTCATTACAATTCACATGTCTTTTATACACAAAGGTTACTGTCTACAAAAGTGCATTTTAAAAGACAAAATAGGGGAACAGTGTAGCTATTGCTCCTCGCGCGCCGACGCCCCTCCAACCGCATCAACACCTAGAACCTGCATCCACAAAGGAAAATAACGGGGTGAGCACAAATAATGCTCAGTAAGTAAAACTCTCTAACTGTCTGTCCCCGTGTGTGACTCTTAATTCTTTCCTTTTCTAATTCTGTTTCTATTTCTGTTTCTAATAACATCATGGCCTCATCTTACCGGAGGTACGGCCGGATGGCGTTCACACAGCACCATCTCACTCTCCATGACTATCGGGTGGAATTCACACAGTACCAACCCGTTCTTAGTGACTACCGAGTGGGGATCACAAAGCACCTACTCGGTTTTCCTAACTATCGGGTGGAGACCACCTAGCACCTACCCGTTTCTCATGACTTTTGGGTAACGATCACCAAGCATTAACCCGTCTCTAGTCACTGTCGGGTGATGATCACAAAGCATCAACCCGCTTCTACTAACTGTTGGATGATGATCACAAAGCATCAACCCACTTATCTAATAACTAATCGGATAGTGATCACAAAGCATCTACCCCATTTCTATTACTCATTGGGTGACGATCACAAAGCATCGACCCATCTCTAAGGGCTATTCGGATGATGATCACAAAGCATCAATCCGATTCCCATAACGGTCGGGTGATGATCACAAAGCATCATCCCAACTATACTACTCTTCTAACTCATTCTATTGTAGCATTTTTCAATGCTCTCTACCCTTAGAGTAATTTTACCCACTAAGCTCTCTACTCATAGGGTATTTCTATACACAAAGTTTCCTACTCTTTCTTAGGTCACTTGTCAATGCATATAACAATGCACATGGATGATTCATCTCTACTAATGCACTTGTGAAATGCCAACATGCAATGTTGCAAGAATTAAGGTTCATTTCTCACACTCAAACCTCTATTAGGCATTTCATCAAACAACTCATGTGCACTATAAAACTCTATCATAGCCATGAATCTAAAACTTTTCCTAACCATCCAAAATGGGGAAAAACCCCTTCACAAAGCCATAATAACCTGTCAAATAAAACACTTCCAAAAAGGGTTTCATAACACCCCTTCAAATCCATCTCAACTACCTTGCCAATCCAACAACCCATTTCTCATATTTACAAGGTATTAACATTCACAAAGCATAGAAATCTCTATTCATACATCCATACATGGCATATCACATGTATTTCACATACATACATCATTACTATTAAAACCCTAATCAAGAAATTTCATAAATCTCAACTTGGGTTGGGTTTTACTTACTTGCTATGAAGAGACTTCACCAAATCTTCTTTCCACTTGGCTTTCTTGGCTATTCTCTCTACTCTTAACCAAAAGAATGAAAACCCTCAAAAACCAAAATGAGCTAAAATCTACAAATCACACAACTTAAGGAGAAATCCTTACCTTAGGAAGCCTTAGGTTGCTTTCTATACCCCAAATCACTTCAAAATCCCTTGGAAATCCTTGATCAAAAGAAAAGAGAAGTTGAGAGGAGAAGAATGAAGGGTTGCGTTTTTGGAGAAGAAGAATGAGGGTTTCTTTGATTCTAATTCCTTTTAATGAAATATAAACACAATCATTCCCATTTTGCCCTTACTCTTCTTTGGGAATTCCATCTATATCCTTTGATTCATTACAAACTCACCCTCATATCAACACATTCTCCATGAAAAATCCTTACAATTAACTCTCCACTTTTCCTGCTAATTAGGGGTAGAAAGGTCAAATTGTCCTTAGGGAAGAAAATGTCTAAAACTCAACCAACATGAAATTCGGCCCGTCGCCGCGGCGAAGAAACCTTTGTCGCCGCGGCGAAACTGTCCAGAGAGTTTCACCCTTGGTTCAATCCATCTTCGCCGCGGCGAAGATTCTTCTTCGCCCCGGCGAAGCTTGGTACACTCAAATTCTTCTATTTTCAACCAAAATTAAGGGCAACATTCAACATGACATTCAATCAAACAATAATAACAAAAACCAACTCGATTAAGGGCGAAAGAGGAAACAATAACAACGTACCTCAAGCGGGGCGTTACACACAAAATGAAAACTCTTGGGTTGCCTCCCAAGAAGTGCTTGTTTATAGTCAAAAGCTCAACCTTTTCAACTCCTTCATCAATCCAAACTATCCATATACATCACACCCCAAACATTTTCCTTGGAATGAGGCTTCTCTTGTTGATAATTCTTGGCACATGAGGTCTTTGTTGAGGACTTGACCACCCATTTCCATCCCTTGGTCATTCCTTTTAGGATCTGGGCATTCTCATCAATACCTTTTCGAGACTTCAACTTTCCATCAGCATTCTTGAAATGAGAAGGTGTCAAAGTGATCTCCCGGCCAGCCCCGCTTTCAACTTACATGACCTTATACCTAAATCTTTATAACTTTGTCCCTTTGTGAAGAAACTTGCTTGATTGTGGCTCGTCTAGGTATATTGTACAAACTTTTGATTTATGATCTTCATCTTCGATCTGCTTTGACTTAACCATGCATTCCTTAAATGGAAATTTGGGATCATCAATTTTGGGAAATTTTAATTGCTGACTAATCCACCGAGTCGATTTTGAAACATGAATCTTGCTTCGATGGGAATTTTAGAGCCTCAAGGACATTAAATGTCATTTCTTCATCTTGCACCCTCATGATCAACTTCCCCTCTTGCACATCAATTAAGGCTCTTTCGGTAGCAAGAAATGGCCGTCCTAAGACGAGAGGTATCTCCTTGTCTTCTTCCATATCCAGCACAATGAAGTCTACAGGAAATATGAATTATCCATTTTTACCAACACATCTTCAACAATACCTAGTGGATACTTAATCGATCGATTGGCAAGATGAAGAGAAACCATGGTCAATTAAACTGCCTTGATTCCCAATTTCTTGAAAACAGAAAAAGGCATTAGATTAATGCTAGCACCCAAGTCACACAAAACTCTATCAAATGTAACATCTCCTATAACACAAGGATCCTTGAGCTTTGGTGGTAACTTCTTCTGCAAAATGGCACTGCATTCCTCTATAAGCATCATTGTTTAATCCTCTTCCAACTTTCTTTTGTTTGACAGAATTTGCTTGAGGAACTTAGCATAGCTCGGCATCTGCTGCAAGGCATCTGCAAAAGGAATGTTAATGTGCAGTTTTTTGAAAACATCAAGAAATTTAGTCAACTGCTTATCTTGATTTTGCTTCCTTAATATCTGAGGAAAAGGAACTGGAGGAGTGTGGTGTGCCAACTCTAGTGATATTTTAGGAAATGGCAATTTTTCTTTCCTTGGCTTTGGCATCTTTTCCTTGTTTGGTTCTTCCTTTCTTGGACTTGTTGGCTTCTCCTCAATAATGATCTCTTCATCAACTTCTTCCTTCTTCCCTGGTGAGTTCTCATCCTTCCCTTTTAGTTTAACCTCTTCTAACACTATCTCGCTCCTTAGCATAATTGCATTTAGTTGCTCTCTTGGATTGGTCACAATATTACTTGGTAAGGAACCTTAAGCTCTCTCATTCAACTTTTAAGCAATTTGACCCATTTCCAGCTCCAAGTTTTAAATGGATGCTCCTTGATTTTTGAAATTTGCCCTCATCTCATTCATAAAATCTATTGTTTCTTACATGAATTTCCTGAGCATATCCTCCAATTTCGACATTCGTTGCTCACATGGTCAATGGTTCACCCCTGATTGATAGTTTGGCACTGTTCTTTGATTAATTGATTGTTTTGATTATCCTAGGATAAGTTTGGGTGATTTCTCCAACCAGGATTGTAAGTGTTGGAAAATGGATTGTTTTGTTGTCTTTGATTCCCAGTCAATGCTCGCATGGTTACTTGCACAAAAATCACATGTTACTTGAGGTGTTTGAATGGAGTTAACATGCATACCTCCTATTTGTTTCTGAAGCACAGCAAGTTAAGCTGAAATGGCTGTGTAAGCATCAACTTCATAAATATCGATGGACTTCTTTGGCACTATTCTGTCATCCAGTCTTTGGTAGTTGTTACTTACTAAAACTTCAAGTAACTCTTGAGCTTCCACTAGTATCTTTTTCTGTAAAGCTCCTTCAGCTGCTGCATCCATCATTTTTCAAACATTTGGTAGCAAACCCGAATAAAACGTTTGGACTTGCATCTAAACAGGTAAACAATGGTGTGGAAACTTCCTCAACATTTCCTTGAATCTCTCCTATGCTTCATATAATGATTCATGGTCACCTTGTACAAATGAGGTAATGTCATTTCTCATCTTTGTTGAAAAAGCTGGTGGGTAATACTTGTATAGGAACTTCTGTGCTAGATCAATCCATGTTGTGATGGTTCTAATGGGTAATGACATTAGCCATCCTTTTGCCTTATCTTTCAATGAGAATGGAAACAGTCGTAACCTAATAGATTATCTGTCACCTCGTTGTGCTTGAATGTGTCATAGATTTCCAAGAAGTTGGCTATGTGCATATTCGGATCTTCTTTTGGATCACCCCCAAACTGTACTTATTGCTGAATCATCTGGATTATAGTTGGCTTTATCTCAAAGTTATTCGCCTCAACAAGCGGTCTCATAATGCTAGGACTACACCCATCAACTTGTGGAAGTGAAAATTCCCTCAAAGTTCTGTTTTTAGCCATCTCAATGATTCTCGCCTCTCGTTCTCTTCTCTCTCTGATAAGTCTTATGGCGGTTCTTTCAATCTCTGGATCAATAGGAACCACTGGATGATTTCTTGCTTTTCGTATAAACGACACAAGAAGGAAAAGAGTGTAGATCAAGCATACAAAGAAAAATTAAACTAAAAACAATTAAAACTAAAAACTAAACTCCAATTTAGCAAAAACTAGAAAACTTCAATATCAACACAAAATGAATCCCCAGCAACGACACCAAAAACTTGATGCGTGCTTTCACAAACATGCATATTTAGCATGTACACTAGTTGTAAAAAGAAATAAAATGATGAGTCGAGTATCATTCCCACAAGGATTGAGTGCTAAGTATCGATTCCTAGTTTTATAACTAATTAAAGAACACAAAAATTTGGATTTGCGGGAGCTACTAAAAACTAAATTAGAACAAAAAAAAAGAGATAACTAAAATTAACACAACAAAAGCAATTTAATAACAAAATTCAATTCAAGAAGAGAGGTTTGGGTTTTGATTTCACTAAGTTACTCCATTTCAATCTACTAATCCTATCATCTTCAAGTTCACATGCACGGATTACAAATCAAATTCCCTTGGTTGTAAAATATACCTTCCCAGGCTATAAATTACTACTGATCCTTATTTAACTTCCGTACCCAACAAAATGAAGTTTAATAGTTCAAAGTCCCTTAAGTATATGGAATCCATGTACTTAAGGGATAAGTAGCAATCTATGGTGTTTACCTCAAGAAGCTAATGCTTGAATCACTTCTCAGTCTCATCATGCTCAACATTCATTTGATTCAAAAACCCAGCAACCAAATGCATTAAGAACAAAAATAAACACTTAATCCATACTATATAACTCAAAGACAACAAGATGTTATAGATCAAATCATTATAAACAAAGATCCATCAAAACCCTAACCCAAAAACGAGTTAGCTCATGTTCAAAATGCATATAAGCATCAAATACATAACAAAAACAGAGTTCAACATCCTAAAAATAAGAAAGGGAAAAGAAACTTTTCTAATTTTGGAGATCCAACCCTTCAAATCTTCTTATCCTCTCCTTATTTCCCAAAATGTCGAGCCCTTCCCTCAAAATGAGCTAACTTACTCTTAAATAGTCAGCCAAAACCCTAGGAACAATACAATAATAGAAAAATGCAGTGTTTTAACAAAAACAAAAAAATGTAGTTTTTGTCACGGCGAAGAAAAAATCTCTTCGCAACATCGACTTGAATTTCATTGACCCACAAGTCTAGAGGCTAGCTTGCTGCGGCAAACACCTGATCTTCTTTGTTGAATTTGTGAAATTGCCCTCCGCTTGCTTCTTCGCTTGAATCTTCGATCTTCATGATACTCAATAGGAACAAACTCCAGGGTGCTTCCAATCAGCATTAGAATTCCCCCGATCTTCTAAATTTTGCTCAATTCTAGGTCCAAAAACTCATTTTTGCTCAGTTTTGCTCCAACTACAAGTTTTGGCCTAAAACATAAAATATGTAGAATTAAGTAATAATTCAAGCACAAAACTCGAAAGAAGTATCCGAAATCGTACAAACATCATAAAGAAAATAGTATAATCCTAGGATTTTCAACAAGCTTTATTTGCTAGAACAAATATACATGATAGATCTTTAACACTAATATTGCAGCTTATCATGATTATACAGCTTATGGAGGTCCACTAGGAAATCAGTTCACACTTGGCTCTATTGATGCTCCTTGGTTTCCTCAAGGATTCTCTCAACACTAGAAAAATTCTACTGGATCTACATTCAATATTGTGCATGCTAATCCTGCTACAAATTTTTATGTGAATTTGGCCTTAGGTTCTAATACTTCTTCTCATGTGGCAACTCCTCAAACTATGAAGGATCGATCTTATACATGGACTCAGGAGCATCCAATCACATGGTAGCTGATCCATCTCATATGGTGACCAGGACAAACTATTCTGATGGTTCCAAAGCTCAAGTTGGCAATGGTGAATCTTTGCCAATCACTCATACAAGTATGTTGGTACTTCCATCTTTTAACTCAAAAAGAATTGCTCAACTTCGAAACATCTTATGTGTTCCCAAAATTGCAAAGAATTTATTGAGTATTTCTCAAATCACAAAAGATAATAATGTAATTGTAGAATTCTACTCTGATTATTGTTTGGTAAAGGATAGAAGCAGTAAAACTGTTATGCTTCAAGGCACAGTCAAGAATGGCCTTTATTAGTTGGATTTTCCACCTCCTGGTACTTTTTCTACTGATGGTTCCAATTATGCTGATTCACTTAGTTCACAAGTGCTCTCTTATATCCAATCATAAGTTGTTGCGACTCCCTTAGCTAATTCAACTTCTTTTGCAACTTTTGTTTCAAATAAAACTACTGCTTATAATGTTTTAGATGATGTATCTACTTCTTCATTGCTTTGGCATGCTCGACTTGGCCATCCTAGTACTAAGTCCTTACAAGTTGTACTAAATAAAATGCATGTTAAACATTCTCCTGATTACAATGCAAGTTCCTTTTCTAAAGCATGTGTTTTTTGGGAAATTGAAACAATGCAATTTTCCTTTTTCTCTTTCCCTAGCAAGTGTTCCTTTGGAATTAATACATTATGATCTATGGGGATTTGCCCCAGTACTATCTAGTGAGGGGTATCGTTATTACGTAATTTTTCTAGATGACTATAGTAGGTTTACATGGATTTATCCTCTCAAGCTTAAGTCTAAAGCTTTTACGGTGTTTACTAATTTCATATGTTTGCAGAGAAAAAATTAAATGCCAATATTAAATATTTACAAATTGATTAGGGTGGGGAGTTTTGATCTTTTTCCAAGTATCTAAGCCAATATGGCATTATGTTCAGACATCCTTATCCTTATTCACATCAGCAAAATGGCTGAATTGAAAGAATTCATTGATCCATTACTAGGTTTGGACTATCTTTCCTAGCCTATGCTTCCATGCCACTAAACTTCTAGTGGTTGGCTTTCTCAATAGTAGTATATCTCCTCAATCGTTTGCCTTCATCTATTCTTAATTTTGTATCTCCTCTTACTGTTTTAATTCAACAAGAACCTCATTACCATGAGCTTAAAGTCTTCGGTTGTAGTTGTTTTCCCTATCTTAGACCTTCCAATAAGCATAAACTCTCATTTCACACTGAGAAATGCATATTTGTAGGTTATTGTCTATCTCATAAAGGATATAAATGTATGTCCAAATATGGGAAAATGTTTGTGGTTAAATAGGTGAAGTTTAATGAAGAAGAGTTTCCTTTCAAAGATGGTTTCTCTAGTTCTACTTGTTCTTCTTCTGCATCAGCATCAGAGTCTAATTTGATATCTTCAGGATCATGTTCCTGGACTATTCCTAGTTCTGAGGCTGTTCAAAATGTCAATACTCCTATGGTCTCTTCCAGGCTTGAGCCTCAATTAGGATATGCTCCTAATATATCTACTTATACGGATATCAATGCAAACCTATCTGATGGGTCTTCAGCCTCTCCAAGTCCATCATCATTATTTTCAACTTCTAAGTGCAGTATATCTTCACAATCTTCAGGTTCAAGTCCTAAAGATCATCCCGGTATTAACCTACAGGTTGTACTTCTTGTGACAACACTAAACATTGTTGCTTCCTCTACCAATATTCATCATATGGTCACAAGATTCAAGTCCAAAACATTACAACTATTAGCTCAAGCTCTTCTCTCTACTCAAACTACTCTCAAATAGCCCCAACATGTTAAGGAAGCATTAGCCATTCCTGAATGGAAGTTTTCCATGGAAAAAGAATATCAGGCTCTACTCGATAACAAAACTTGGGAGTTAATTCCATATGAAGAAGGAATGCATGTAGTTGGAAAGTGGATATTTAAGACTAAGATTAACACCGGTTTAGACTATTTTGACACATTTTCACCAATTGTAAAGGCAGCCACAATCTAGATAATGTTCACTTTAGCAGTTCACCATGGCTAGGACATTCATAAGCTAGATATGAACAATACTTTTCTCAATGGAAATCTCACTGAACAGGTTTTCATGATGCCACCTGAAGGGTTTTCTTCATCCACTCATCCACCACAAGTCTAAAAGAACAATAAAGCATTATATTCTAAAGCAGGCCCCCAAGGCCTAGTTTGATAAACTAAAAATAGCCCTTCAATTTATTCTTCTATAATAATGGCACTACTGTGATCTATTTACTTGTATATATAGACATTGGTTTAGTGACAGGGAATGCTCCTGATCTTATAACCAAAGTGGTTCAAGACTTAAATAGTCAGTTTGCATTAAAGATCATGGGACAAGTCCATTATTGTCTTGGTTTTGAAGTCAAAAGAAATGCTTATGGGCTGCTACTTACTCAGACTAAATACGCTCAAGACCTGCTAGAAAAAGCTAAAACAGAAGAATGCAATCCTTGTTTAACTCCTATGGCCATTAGAACTAAACGTGGCAAAGAGGATGGAGAGTTATTTGAACAACCCACACTTTATCAGAGTCTTATTGGTGGATTACAATACTTAACTTTGTCCAAGCCAGACTTAGCCTTCACTATGAACAAGTTAAGTCAGTTTCTTTAGAATCCAACAGTA